CACCCAAACGAACAAACCCGGCGAACTAGAGCAAAGCCTTGAACACAGTTAGGCAAAGAAAGGAGTAGGAACAAAGTTTTGGAGAAGAAATTGTGCTTTCTGTGTGTTGTGTTTCTTCTTTCTACCTTGTCACTCTCTTGTTGTGCTTGTACTAAAATCTGCTGCTCCCACTACATTCTTATATAGGAGGTGGAGTATTCAATAGCATTCATGATGACATTCAAGACTTGTCCAGTAACTCCTGTAACAGCAGCCATAAGTTGAGTTTTAATTCACAATTAAAAAAATTAAAATTAATTCATTATTAATTCCGTAACAGTAAAACCCAACGATCGCAACAGGATACGAGAGGACGGAGGCCAAACCGGTCGCAGTTTGGCCAAGCCAAGATCATGTTTCGGCCTTAAGGCCACCACGCCGTCATGGTTCGTGCGCTCTCAAGGCCGACGAACACGAGTTTAGGCTTGAGAGCCAAGCCTTTTTCGATCTCATTTTGAGATTTGATTTACACCCCGCGCGCGCGAGAGAGAGCCTCTATGCTATACATTCAATAAGCCTCTAAAAGACTCTTGTATAAATAGTGGGGCAAATCCTCTTCCCAAACCAATGTGGGACAAAAGCTCATTTTTTCCAACTCAATGGGTTTACTTTGAGAATCAATATCTCATTCACCCATTATCCGTTTTGAGCGTACAATATATCAATCTCTTCGTCTTACTACGAAAAACTCGATCCACTTTGACCCGACCCAAATCGAAAGTGGACCCCACTGATAATTGTACCACAAAATAGCCACTTAAAATATCATTTTAATGCTATTTTTCCAACAGTGTGTTTGACTAGCTGATGATATTAGTTAATTATAGAAAGATATTTTGTAAATTAGCTGTTAGCTGATAGCAGATTACATAAAAAATGACTTTCTCAAAAAATTGCTCTAAACATCTTTTTGAATTTTAGTGTTTTGGAGTAATAAACTGTTACAAATAACTAATCAACCAAACACTTATATGAACATATACTACATTGTAATAGAGTCAGTAACATACAAAAAAACTAAACACTTATATTAATTATTTAATCAAGTCAAATAGTTAATAATGGTCAAATAAATTAAAATTGACTGAAAAGTTAAAAATATGCCCTATATCAATTTCTTTTATACCGAGTATAATCATTTTTTTTTTGAATGCTACTAGCTCTATTACATTGTAGTATCTGTTTCTCAACCTACTGAAACACACACAAAGAGCTAATAACGCCTCTACTAAGGCTCGAACTCACAACCTTTCAAATGAAAGTTCAACCCAGATACTATTGGACCACATAATCCTGGTATAATCATTTAATTAATAACAATCGCCATAATTTAAAAAGAAAAAAGAATAAAAAGAGGCCAGGAAACAAGTAGTCAGCAATGCCCTTCTGAATTTCTGATCCCATCTGATCTGTCGTGTCTTTTGTACTGTCTTCATTTTATTTTTTTTTTATTTCTTCTAGTTATCTTAATTATTTTATGAGTTCTACTAGATGTATTTCCAAATCTCACTTTTTTCAAATTTACTCTCTAATGTGGTAAATTTTGATAATTTATTTTTTCATGTAGATCCCAATATAAATATCTATATCAAAATTTATATATAAAAGTAAAAATAAAAAATATAAAGTAGAAGTACACATAGTATTTTTCTTATTTTATTGTATACATATCTCACCACTCAAAAATGAGAATCATTTTTCTCCATCTGAAAGAAAAGGAAAACACTTTTTCATATTTGTACTCCACCTGCATGTGGCTATGTGTTTGAGTGTCAAGTTTAAGAAAAAACGTGTTGATATACATATCAAATTTAATCTATTACTCTGTATAAATTAATATATATTGCATGTTATAAGACCAAAATTAGAGTTCTTTGTTTCGTCGTATCAATTTGATATCAGAACCAACTTCAAGAGAAAGTAAGCAAATTATAGTCTACATGTTACTTGACTTATTTCACAAATTCTTAACAACTTAATTTACATGTATTTAACAAATATAAATGATTGCAATGCTTACAAAAGTGGCGTCATGAGCTTTGATACAAAATTATGTTCAGTAATTTCACATTACTTAAATATTATATTTAGTTTTTGAGACGATATGACGAATTTTCACTTAATTGAGAAAAAGAATATGACCCTTTAATTAGCATTTTCTTTTCTTAATTTTAAAAAACATATTTGCATTGACCCAAATTTTGGTGGGTAAAAAATGAACCTTTTTTTTAAAATTTTTTTTTATAAGTTTGTTGATGTAAATAGCATATTTTCCATCCAAAATTACCTCTCTAGAAAATTCGGTTGGGTCTTCCCATATTATGTCTTTGTGTCAGCTTCTCGTACTTCTAATAAAACGAGGAGTACAACACTGCCAAACACAAAAGTTAAGAAAAATTTGAATATATTATTATTACTTTCTGATACATTAGGTTTCCATAATTCCTACCTAAGAGTCAGAGAGTTTTTATGATGGAAATTAGTATGCGGACTTTCAAGTTCTACTCCAAAAGTTTACTTTTATTTTTAAATTTGTAATGTAGATATTTTTTTTTGGAATTCACATGATAACAATAACCTATAATTGTCTGTCCTATAAAGAGTAAAAATTAAAGAGTAAAGTTTGAGAGTATATGTAGAAGAATTCTTTTATGACTTTTGATGTGACATTTTTTTTTTTTTTTGGTTGAATACTACTGACTCTGTTACAATATAATATTTGATGAGACGTTCTTAGTGAGATTCGATCTTCATCACTTTGGTTAAGGTCTTCCAAAATTTTTGAAACAAGATTTTAGGATGATCAGTCGAATTAACTGAGATAGCCGGATGCAACATATTATTATTTTTATATTTAGGTTATATATATTCAAAAAATAATTGGTATGTGTTTGCAAAAATAAAAATAAAAAATTGATATGTAATAATGCACATATGCTATGCTATAATGGTAATTTCAATTTTGTTAAGAAAAAGGCTCCACTTGTTTCTCTGCAAATCCGCCTCTCTCTCTCTCTCTCTCTCTCTCTCTCTCTCCCCCTCTCTGTCTGTCTCCCTGGGCAGCAAACTGGTCTGAAACTTTTTCTGCTGCAAATCTCTTCCGCCATTTCTGAAACTCCCTTTCTCTCTCTACAACTCGGATCTTTCTCCCTCTACAACTCAGAGAAATGGATAACCCATCCGAGGATTCCTCGGAACAAACCCAGCAACAACAACCCGAATCAAATGGGAATGATGACCAACAAGTCTACTTCGTTCCTTTCAGGTACCCCAATTTCTATTCTCTTCGGCACATTCCTCATTCCACATCTGCATTTCAGCTGCTATGCACAATTAGAAAAAACCAAAACACATTGTGAATAGAAAAAGATTGATAAATAAGAGAATGGTGATCTTATTTATATTCTATATTCGTTTTGTTTGATTTGAAATGTTTGTCAGATTGAATTTATTAGAATGCAATCTGACTTGTCTTTGGATTTTTGAATTGCAAATAACTTTTCTTTTTGATCCGTGGGGTTGATTTATTGTTTAATCGAAATGTGGCTAGTTCTGAGACATCGTTTTCTTTTCTTCGTTTGTGTCGCTGTGAATTCGAACATTAGGTATTGGTTTCCGTCAGTGTCTTCCATGGAATTGATTAGGTTTCTGTTGTTATCTCTTAAAAAAGTAGTATAAATAATGGGATATGTGGGTTTGCTTAGGGATGTGCTTTTGTGCTTGTGTGACAATCTAGTTGATGATGTCTGTTGTTGGAATATTGTTCTGATACCGATTTTTGTTCTGAGAAATACATATATAGGGAGTAGGGGTATCTGTGTGTATTCATCTCTAGTATGGCTTGTAGGTAGAGTTGTGAAGGAGCAAAAGAGCATCTTTCTCATCATACTCTTAGTACAATTTTCATATCCGTCTGCTTCTCCAAGGAAGCAATGATCACAAAGTGTTAGAATTAAGTACTCTCAAAGGCCACAGCTTGAAAGTTTGTGCATTGTAGGTGGTGGAAAGAGGCACAAGACACAGCATCAGCAGATGGGAAGAAGGGGACTTTGTACACAGCCTCACCTGCTCATGGAGGGCCAATGAAGATAATAAACAATATTTTCAGTTCAGATGTTGCTTTTAATTTAAGGAAGGAGGATGATCCTTCACTGCAGACCTGTGACAATGGCGAAGTTGGGGTATCAGGTCGTGATTTTGCCTTGGTCCCTGGTGACATGTGGATTCAGGCACTCAAGTGGTTAGTATCTTGGGACATCTTCATTGTTACCCCTGAAATTCATCTTTGTGTATTCTTTTTTCTTGTATTTGCATTAGAATCTTTCTGCTGTTAGTGGATAGAATTTGAATCTGATGTCCATTGTGCATGAGTTACCTTTGTTATCTACATTTATTGTTTTCTTCTGTTTTCAACAAGCACTCCACCACCCCTCCCCAACCTGTGATTTGGCAGACCCTTAATTGGCTACTTGAGAAGTAGGTACATCGGTGGTGATATTACTCTTAAGATCCAAACAATAGGGACAGGAACTGGACCCAACCTCTAAAACAAATTTAATTTTGCTGACCCTAAAGAAGTTTAATTTTCTTCCAGGAGATCTCTTATAGTGAAGAGAAAGGACACCTTTAACTGTGGGATGGTAACCTGATTTCAAGTTTCCATTCTGCTGTTTTACATATCTTTAAAATGAGACATCTGCACTTAGGGTGCAAGTTCTGAGATATTTATTTTCTAGAAAGTGCTATGCTTCTGAAACTATCTCTAGATTCTAGTTATTTGACCTTGTATTACATCATTCTGACCTGTATGTAGGCACAGTGGTTCTAAAACTCCAGCAAAGAATAGCAAAAGCTTTTCAACCTCAGATGATGATATTACAGATGTTTATCCCTTACAGTTGAGACTTTCTGGTTTGCAAGAAGGCAGCTCCTTGGGAGTTAGGATAAGCAAAAAGGTTGCCACTCACTTATCTAGTCTTATTCCATCTCTGTTTTCCATGAGTTATGCACTTACAAATGGTTTGAGTACACGAATAAAATGATCTTCATGTTTTCAGTTCCTCCTTGTCTAACTTCAGTTCTCTATGGAATATCGTAATAAAATCTGGTAGATACATGTCATTGTTGCCTAGTAATGCTGTATGTGAAATTTGAATTTACAGCTCATTACAGGACAAATAGCCAGATCTAATACAGATCACTACTTTTTCACACTATGCATTTACTTGTAAGATAAACCATGATAAGTTTCACATCGTTGCCACTTTGTTTTGCAATTTATTTGTATCACGTCTTTGTGTTAGTAAACTGAACTGTACTTTTACTAATATTCATCATTTGAAGCATTTGAGATATCCATACCCCTTGAGGCATTGCAGATGTTGATATTCATTAGATTTTATTGTTGGGGATGAACATTGGAGCAAAGTTGAGGGGTTGTCAATATGACACTGTTCAATACAATTGTGTGAAATTCTTCCGTAGATTATCACAAGTACTGAAAAAGCATAAGGTTGGTGGTTCTTTCAATTCAAGGCATCTTGTTATGGCAAGGTGCTTGACATCCTTGAAGTTTCATAGGAAGGAAAATGGAGGAATTGGATGCAATGATTCAAAGTTTGATGTTCATAACTAATTTGTTGCAGTGAATAATGTGCTGGAAGCCCTGGGTGGGACAAAATTCTTGCTTTTCAAATTACATTATTAAATGAATGCAAAATAATGCATTCCAATTGCTTCGTCAAATGAATATCAGTGGCCATGAAATTTCTTGAGCTTTGCACATTATAGGTCATCCTATCCCAACTTGGTGTTTAAATATCCTTAAATGTTGTTCTAAGTCTCTAACTGGGGATACCAAACAAGTCTAGGCATGCCACATGCATAAAAAATGTTCCTCCCTCAGATTGGCCAAATTCCGAAATTTTGTCATAGATAAATCATTGAAATGGGGGTAAATCTCTAATTTTCTACTAGGCCAACAAGTATTCCAAATAATCTCCACCAAAAGTTTGTTGCAAATGAATAATAAAGGAAGACTTGTGATCTGAGTTCCATGTTGCCTAAAAATTTTACCACTCAGGAGAGAACAACTTTCTCAGTTGTAGCCTTGTAGGAGACGATGAGATAAGAAGTTGAAAAATAGTTAAATTGCTTCTAAGTCCCCATATGCCAATCTGAAAAGTGTTAGAAAGGTAGCCAAGCAATAGAGAATGGACCATCAAAACTCATCCACAATGAACAGTGAGGTAATTGGAGGGGAGTGACTGCATTGATATTTGAGGTTGCTATCTTGTTCCCAAATTAAGGCGAATTCAGTGATATAAAATAGGAAATGAAAATATGCCCTATAGTTTCCATTTATCATATCAAGCAGTGATGCTTGAGGTTTGATATTGAAATCCCTTTTCTCCTACGATGATTCAGATGGCTTTTGATGTCACTTATTGAGTTACAAAAACAGACTTATTGCTGCTGTTGGGCTCTGTCTGTACCTTTCATGGCTGCACTTTGGTTCTCTGTGTCATCCATGGACTAGTAACTGTCAATGGCCCTATATCCATCAGAAGAAGAAATATATACTTATCATGCTTTCTAGTATTTAAAATACACTTGAAACATAAGAGACAAAAATACTTAACTCATGTTGGTTCTTTGGCTTTGCACAAACTTGTACATATATTGGCAAAGACTAATTTTTACAATCTTCAATGCCGTTTCAATCTGGTGATTTTGAAACTTCTATTTTGGATTTCAGATTCTTATGAGTAGTTTCCTATTTGATCAAGTGAATGAGTGATAATGCTATCACTTCAATAAAACTTTAAAATTGTTAGTGATGTTCATCCATTCAATTAGAATGTCATGGTTTCTATTTTGAGCCTTCTCTATATGGTTTCAACTTTCCTAAAATGCACTACTTTGCTATTTCTTTCATGTCTCTTTTTCAATAACAGCATATTACTATCCAAAGTCACGCCCTCAACATTCCTGCAATCAACTTTTTTGTCCCAATGTTTAAACCAATCAAGTTTAAAATGTTTCCTCAATTCTTTTTTCATTTAATAATTTGATTTAAAGACATTATTTTCATCGTGGTACAGATGAATTAATTCATGACATATACTTGAGGGGTCTTTTGCTAGATAAATACAAGTAGGAGAGTATGTTCAATTGTTCATCAATCATCAGGGCTCCCAAATAAAGCTATTTAAGCCTTTCAAAAAATTCCACCAAATATATAGTTGTTGGGAGACTTTCGACATACACTTGAGTAAATGTTATTAAAGGGTAGTGATTTTGATATATAATTTTTGAACTAACAATATTGTTATCCACAGTGCTCCTTAAATATATTGAAACAAGTAAAGAGCCAGGCATACCTTAAATGTCATAAACCTTTCTATCATATGATTTACGACCTCCTTACTTCATGGTTTTCATGCTATATTAAGTTCCATTTTTCATTTGTTTTTTAGGATAATGCAGTGGAGTCCTATAAAAGAGCCTGTAAGATTTTCATCTTTGAGACAGATCCGGTAAGTGCCTTGATGGGATTCTATCACTTGACATGATATCCTAGTTTTATCTTTTGATGGCTTCTTTCTTCTTCCACAGATTCGGATATGGGATTTTTCTGGCCAGACTGCCTCTTTTTTCTCAAATCAGTCAAATGACAAAGACCTACTAAAGGACTCTCCAAGGCAGTTGGAGCAAGATGTGTGTGGTTATTAATTTTTTATGCAATGTCTAGAATCATTAATTGTTATGCTTATTTGTCATTCAATTTTAATTTTGGAATGCACGAAAGTACAATGTCCAGAATTTTAATTGTCATGCAATGTCAAGTGCGCTTTTATTTATTTATATTTTTGACTTAATTGAATGTGTTTAAGTGTTTACTTTGTTAATCTAAAAATGTGAACAGAGTCCTGGATGCATGAAGGTACCTTACATCTTGTTCCATTCTGGAAAATGGTTAAATTGTTACTGGACTCATTATGAACTTTTCTATAGATTCTCCTTTCTTTTATATTTTAAAATTTTCTTTGAGTAGTTTTATTTCTTGATCATGGCTTATTATTCCAATAGGGATTTGCTTGGTCTCTACACCCAGTTTTATGTGATGCCTTTTGGCGTATTATGATCTAGACAAATATCTTATGCTTAATATTTGTCTTTTAACAGATGCTCCTTGAGTTGCAAGTCTATGGCTTATCTGATTCTGTCAGAAACAGAGCAAAGAAAAATGAAATTGGTGTGCAATATTCTAATGGAACTTCGTATCTGATGAATGGTAGTGCTAGTCTCATACGAAGTCCATGTGAAACTGGCACATTGGGCTTGACTGGATTGCAAAACCTAGGGAACACCTGTTTCATGAACAGTGCTGTCCAATGTCTTGCACACACACCAAAGCTTGTTGATTACTTTCTTGGAGATTACAAAACGGAAATAAATTACGACAACCCCTTGGGTATGAATGTATGTGGCAATATGAATTGACCTAATACTATCTCGTATTCTTTATTTTTCTCTCTCTCTCTTTGCCCCAACCCTCTCTGTTAACTCCCACGCATAAAACATTCCCATCAGCTAATTTTAATGGTTTCTCTACCTACCACTATGCAGGGTGAGATTGCATCAGCATTTGGAGATCTTTTGAAGCAATTATGGGCTCCTGGAGCAACTCCTGTGGCACCAAGAACATTCAAATTAAAGCTCTCTCATTTTGCTCCTCAATTCAGTGGTTTTAGTCAACATGATTCTCAGGTTAGTGTTGGTCATTTCTTCTTGCAGGATTTAAACTTCTGTCAAAATTTTAACAGTATTCTGTTGTGTATATATATTCATGCATGTGTTTTATGTCTCAATGTGTGCATGTACGTCAACAATTGTAAATTTGTATTTATAATCCATGTAGAGGATAAGAATTGTATTTTTCTCCACAGGAGCTGCTTGCTTTCCTGTTGGATGGACTCCATGAAGATTTGAACCGTGTGAAGTGCAAACCATATGTTGAAGCTAAGGATGGAGATGGTCGTCCAGATGAAGAAGTAGCAGATGAATATTGGAAGAATCATAGGGCTCGTAATGATTCCATTATAGTTGACGTATGCCAGGTGAGAAACATCCAAAAGGGTTTGTTTGCATTTCTCCTTTTCTACTAATGCCTCAGCAGTCAGCACATGCCAGAGTAAATATTTTGAAGTAAAATAGTTCCTATACCCACCCAAGTTAAGGGTTTGTAAGCCCAAACAACTGTTATCAATTTTCATAATGAGTATTTTGCTGCTTCATTTTTTTTTTTTTTTTTTTTTTTCCTTCTTTCTTGATAGCTTATTTTCAGTCTTGTTCATTGAAACATCATGAACATTCCTGCAGGGTCAATATCGCTCGAAATTAGTCTGTCCTGTTTGCAGGAAGGTCTCCATCACTTTTGATCCCTTCATGTATCTATCACTACCCCTACCATCAACATCGATGCGGTCCATGACTATATCAGTTATGAAAAGTTATGGTGATATCCAGCTTTCTGTTGTTACAGTTAATGTCCCCAAGGATGGGAAGTATAGTGATCTTATAAGCAGTTTGAGCACTGCATGCTCCTTGGGGGCTGATGAGACCTTTTTGGTGGCTGAGGTATTATACTACACCATTTCCTTTGCAACTAATAATTACCTTAATGAGTTTTTCCCTTGTTATAATTTGCCAGAGTTTACGTTATTTTGAGCTCATAGACCATCTAATGTCAACAGGTTTACAATAGTCGTGTCATACGGTATCTTGGGGGATCAGCTGATTCATTATCCTTAATCAGAGATGGTGATCGACTTGTTGCTTATCGTTTGCTGAAGAGCAGTGGAGAAGACCACTTGGTTGTGTTTACTCATCAGCAGACTGAGTAAGCTCTCACTTGCCTCTTGAAGTCTTGATAGTCAATGTTTTCTGGTTTTTGTTTTGTTTTGTTTTGTTTTTTTGGGGATGGGGTTAATCTTTAAACATATTTTCATTACTCTGTGAGCTCTGCTGGTTGTATTTGCTCCCAGTGCTTAATCCAGAAAGGATTAAATGGCAAAGCTGTTTGCAAATAGATATTCTTTAGATTTGGAGGCTTTTGGCGTGCCCTTGATGCAGTGAGACAAAACTGCCTTAGGACATTCATGCTCTTCGAGCCTTGTTGGGAGATTATGTCAGCATTGCTTGGAAGCATAAGGAGAGGTCTCGGTCTCTTGGATGTCAGTGCACACCTTTTTTGTAAAAATAAAAATTAGAGATATGCTGAGACCTACCCCTCCCCCACCCCTAAAAAAAAAGGGGAGAAAATGGTAGCAAATCGGATGTTTTGCAGCAATGAAAGCCATGTCAAACTGTTTCACATGGCAATAATAAGATGTAAGAGGGTAGAAAAATATGCAGAGAAGGGAAAGGAGACAAAAATGCAAAAAAGTAGAAAAGAAGTCGCAGAAATATGAGTTCTTGGTGATGGAAGCTGGAGACGTGGAATATGAGTTGTAAAAGACAAGGTTAGATAGCTAGAGATATTAGTCATCGAAGCTTACAGTCTCTACCCACCCACAGGGAAACATGTTTTCTTGTTGCTAAGAATCAATTCACATAAATGTTATATCTCTCTGATCTTGCAGAAGTATGCCCCTTCTCCAATTTTTCACCTGTTTTACACTTTTACCCTACTCTCTTTTCATACTACTCACTTCTTGGTTTCATTAAGAGGTTATGCACAAAGAAGCATGTAACCTATGCATAATAGTAGCAGAGTGCAGTTGAGATGGAAAACTATAATTTGCTGACGATCAATAGAAATAATGAGGATTTAAGGAGATGTTACAGATTGAAAGCATGTAGAGAAAGAGACTTTGAGATTTTGATGTTGCCACTTCCTCACATTCAGTTCTAATGTTGAAGGATGATATCCTATCTAAAATGTTTTCGACTTTCTAGTTAAGCAGGGACCTGTTAATTCGAAATGGAGACATTCTCTTTAATCATTTAATGTGGAATGGCTTGCTAGTTATCCATACGTCTTTATTTGTAACTTAATACTTTTTCCTTCATTGTTATGAGAATCCTATGCAAATTCTTGTGAGCTGGGCTTTCTTGGGTTGAAACAGTTCCCTTTATGCGTCTTGGCTTCTTGTCAAATGATATAATTTTTCTCATCTTTTTATTTCTCAGGCATTATATTTCTGGGAAGCTCACACCAGGTTGGAAGATGTTTGGTATTCCATTTGTTGCAAGTTGTAGAGTTGAAAATGGATGCGATCTCCGCAACTTGTATTTAAGATTACTTCTTCCGTTCATAGTTCACAATGAAGATTTTGTTGGGAAAAGTGATAAAGTTGAAAATAGTGCTACTGAAGTACTTACTGAAATGGAAGCCACCAGTCCTGGACTGGTTGGTCTCTCAGAAAATACTGATGCTGAAAATATTGATGCAAACTTGGACCGTGATTTTGAGTTTCTTTTAACTGATGAAAAAGGAATGCCCTCCAGCTCTGCGCTTGTAATGAATGAGCCGCTAAAGTTCTCAGACATGCCTGAACGGCTTAATGTGCTTGTGTGCTGGCCAGATAAAATGCTTGAACAATACAATAGTAGTGCTTTTAGCTCATTACCAGAAGTTTTCAAGTCTGGCTTTTTCACAAAAAGGCCACAAGAGACTGTCTCTTTTTATAAATGTCTTGAGGCATTTTTGAAGGAGGAGCCTCTAGGACCAGAAGACATGTGGTAAGCATACAAGTTAATTTTCATAATTTTTTGTTTGAAGTGTTGCCTACTGTGCTACCGTTAATGTATCGCACATCTTAGAATGGGTAGATATTTTCTTGAAAGGATTTAATTTCCTCCTTTTGATGTTATACTACCTATTTTATAATCCGAACCCTGCAAAAACTTGTTATCCTTAGAACACTATATAGCACTTTAAACTTGAGTTTTTAAACATCAAATTTGAACTATTAAATGAATTTACTTTGCAACTAAGTTGATTTCTTTCTCACTAAGAACAACTTTGCTGGGTGGAAAGGTTTTCATGTCTTGATTTGTTATAACTGAAAAGTTCTCTTCTGCTATCCCCAGTTAAGTTGTAGCTTGCACACAGATCTTTGTTGTCTTTCCAGAATCTTTGAAGGTAGTTTCTTCAGTCTGATTTTGCAAATGTTTCTTTTTAATCAACATCATTGCATTATACAGGCTTTTATTGGCTTAATGAAATGTTCTGGGATTATTAGACATTTGTGTTAGTTAGTAGGATTGTCCTACAAAATCTTTTTAATGTGTTTTCTGTTGTATTGCGTAAGGTACTGTCCTGGTTGCAAAGAGCATCGCCAAGCTACTAAGAAGTTGGATCTGTGGAGGTTGCCGGAGATTATGGTCATTCATATGAAGAGATTCTCATATAACCGTTTTCTGAAGAACAAGTTAGAGACATTTGTTGATTTCCCCATCCATGATCTTGAATTGTCTTCATATATTGCCCACAAAGATGGACAATCTTCTTGCCGCTATACGCTATATGCAATTAGTAATCATTATGGAAGCATGGGAGGAGGGCACTACACTGCATTTGTTCGTGTAAGTTATTATGTAGTATGTAATAATTCAATTTAGTTTACTGTTTCCTCATATAGCATCCATGACTGATCCCCCCAGGCGAAAAGAAATAGGAATTTTTCCAATACGTTCAAGGCTTCAATCTCTAGGACTCTAACCTGAGTACTTTGAAAATAATCATATCCTGATTAGGCCAATACTTGGACACAATATCGAACTCTATGTATAATGTTTGTATTTATACTTTCATTTCTACTTTCTAGTGCTCTTAGTATCTTTCTGTTAATCTTTTGTTTTCCATTTGGTGTAGCAAGGTGGTGAACAATGGTATGACTTTGACGACAGCCATGTTTCACCCGTCAGCGTGGAGAAGATAAAAACTTCAGCTGCCTATGTTCTGTTCTATAGAAGAGTTGAAGAAAACGATATAGAAGAGATGAACAAGACCATCGTTAGGTGCTAGGGTACTGAACAAGGCTTCACATTTATCCGCAAGTCTTGTAAAGAATCACATCTGTTGTGTTGTTCTTTGGTGGCAGGCATATAGTTGGCAATTTTGGGGTCATCGCGGAAATGTTAGTGTGGCGATAAGGATAACCGTATAATACTTGAGAGTAGGGAACGACGGATGGTGAGGCGAAAGGGTTGATACAACGCGGGAAAAGTCTTACATCTATAACAAATTCTTTGTGATACAAGACCCAAGTTTTTTGCTTGATTACCTAACAGGAAAGAAGAAGAAGCTAAGGGTAGCTTGAAATAGATTGCATAGTGCACATGTAAAATATTCTCTAAAATTCTTTATAGCAATTGTACTAATTACAACATTATTTCTGGAATGTTGTGCTTGTGCATTCCTCTCCTCATTATGACTGTTTTAAATGTTTCTTGCAAATCTTTGGTGAAAGTGGGTGTACTATGCATTTGGTAGGATGTAAATCTCGGTAATTCAGTTGCTCAGCAGACATGGTCAAATGTCGGTGCGCACAAGGGTTTGTCTACTTTGAACATAATTCTCACACTGTCGTTGCCGAGTTTTAGATCTTGGTCTCTTCTCCAAATATTGCCTACTGAACCAAAGATTTGCCATTGTTGAAGTAGCATTATGTTGTGGGAAGGTGATGAACTTTACTCCATCCTTTCCTAGCAACAAGCTTCAGCACTGAGTTGTCCATGTCTGCCTGAAAAGCAGTTGACTTTACTGCATACGGACCACAGGTTTTGCCACTTAGTTGTGTTTGGAGAGAATTAAGTATAATCTGCCATTCTGTCCCAAACTACAAAACCCTAAACCTCACTAATAATATTTTTGAGTGTCCCTTTGAAAAATATAACACTAGTTAAAAGGTAAAAAAATGTTAGATGTACACAATAGTATAAAATACAAAGTATGCCTTCTACCACATGGCATCCTTTCCAAGGTCATAATAGAACTCCCACTTGTACAACTTCTGGTATAAATGACTTAAAAAAAACTAAGCATGGCTTCTTTGGGACAACTATACCCAAGATGGTTAAACAGTTGGTTTGGTAATCATAAGATTCTAAGTTCGACTCTCAATGGGAATGACCTATTGACCTTCTTGATTTGAGCATGTAAGCTATGGGTGATCTAAACTGGTTTACCTCCTTAAGGTCCTTTACCGGCTAGGGTCACAAAGTGAGGTTTACCTAGTGCACGTAACCCTAGAATAGTGTTGCAAGTTTTCCCCGCCACAAAAAAAAGTATGGTTTCTTATGCATAACATCCTTTCCACTATTCAATATCATACCCAAAACTCCCTCTCATTTAAGTTATTATGGTATAGATGCTTTAAGAAAGCCGCCTATCATAGGATAATTGACTTTAATTCTTTAAGATTGGAATATTTCTATTTTCTGATTTCCTATTGAAATTTTTTTTTCAGTTAATAAACGGACACTTAGCCTCGTGATATAAAAGTTATACGTTTTTATTTTGATTTTGGCCTGAGTTGAGCCAACCTGTATTGACCGAGTTGGCGAGTTCCATTACCTAGCTAGATTGGACCACCTTTTATGTGTAGCTTAAGGGTTAATGTAGTGCACATATATACAATCAACATACATACAGATTAGAGATGGGCCCTCCGAGTTGTAATTATGATTGTACATTAGGCCCCAATGCAATGTTCAGGACCACTTTCCAGTATCCACACTTCCGCTTATGTCGCTCCGTGTTCTCTGAACGATCTCTCTTGGTCTATTATCCATGATTCCGTCTTTCCAGTATTTCAGTTCACCCCTTAGGTTTGGGAACCTGGCTAGCTAACTATATCCTTTCAACTTGTCGGCTAAATCTAATTTCATATCATTATTAATCATGCAATACTTTTTTTTGTGTTTTTGGTTACTCATATTTCTTGTTTTGGTTGTTTTATCAATCAACTTCAAAATTATATTGTCCAGTCAACACCCACATTATTTTCAAAATTTCTATTTATTAGTTCTGGAGGCAAATTTTACGGTTAACTATGGTCCAAAACGGTGACGTTTCTTTTAATTAAAAGAAACGGCACCGTACCTGTTTCGTCTAATTACTTCTGTTTGTATGACGTATTCAGTTTCATTTAACATGCATTGTAGTTTCATTTTGTCACAACTAAAGTATTATTTTGTTTCATCAATTACAATTTCATTTGACATTATACACTCAATATGTGAGATCCTGTTATTGAGTTTCATTTTATACACACTGCAGTCTTATTATAACACCACTAAAGTATAATTCTAATTCAATACGGTTCATTGGACAATATACACTCAAATATGTGAAATTGTTATTCAGTTTCATTTTATATACATTATATTGTAGTTTTATTACAACATAACTAAAGTATCATTTTAATATAACTACAATTTCATTTGACAATATACTACACACAATATGTGAGACATGTTATTCAATTTCATTTTATACATATTATAGTTTCATTTCAGCACAACTAAAGTATCATTTCAATTCAACTACAGTTTCATTTAATCGATAATATACACTCAGTATGTGAGACACATTATTCAGTTTCATTTTATAGATACTGTAGTTTCATTTCAGCACAACTAAAGTATTATTTCAATTCAACTACAATTTCATTTGATAATATATACTTAATATGTAATACATTATCCAGTTTCATGTTAGATACACAGAATTTTATTTTGAAACGACACCAAATTTTATTTTGAAACGACACCGTTATTGGACCTGTTCTAATTTCTAATTTCTAATTTCTAATTTCTAACCACAGGGGAGGCCTTTTGTGTGTGGTTGGTGAGAGGAGGGGTAACTATAGAAGTATAGAGCAGATTGTTTTTGAAAATTTAAGTATGAAACCCTACAAACTGAAGCCTTGTGAATTACCATTATTATTAGAGAAACAAACTGAAACCTTGTGAATTAACATTATTATAACATATATACTAATTTTTTACGCGCATTGTGCGATTGAGATAATACTCAATGTTTTTTTTTTTTTTTTTTTTTTTTTTTTTTTTTTTTTTTTTTTTTAAGTACTTTAAAGTATATCAAGGTAAGATTATATTAGAATTGTTCATGTATAGATAATTAAATGTTGAATTTGCATATTTAAATAGGTAATTCTAAGTTTACAAATGCAAGATAATATAGTCAAGATTAATTATAATTGTCAACAAAATAATTATATAGGTATGATTGAAACTAAATACGGGATATAAGGGAGAGCAAATAAAAATTAGGGCATAAAATATTAAATATATACGAATATTGAAGAGCTAACTGCTGATTGCCAAACAAGGACATTGCGATGCAGTTTCTCACTTCAATTTGTTGTGTAATTTGAATACTCTTTTTGTCAATAAATCCCCCAAGTAGTTAATATGATTGTCTTAATTATATTTTTTATTTTTTATTTGTTTAAAACAATTATTATTATTATTATTATTATTATTATTATTATTATTATTATTATTATTATTATTATTATTAAATATATGTATACCCTTAGGTCATTTTACATGTTAATTTAAACAGCTAATTTTTTTAAATATCTTTTTACCAACCGTTGATATAATTCGCTGGTCAAATCCGCTAACGCTAACCGCTAACTGCTGATTGTCAAACAATGACATTGCGAGGTAGTTTTCACTTCAATTTTTTGTGTGATTTGCAAGATTGCAAAACACGTTAGGCATCCCCTAAGCGCCAAGGGGGCGCCTAGCGCCTAGGGTAATCGGCGCCTAGGTGCCGATTTATTTTATTTTATTTTTATAATTTTTATAATTTTTTGTTATTTTGTTATTTTTTATTTTAAAAAAAAATAAAAAAATAAAATTTAAACTAAAAATTTTAAAATTCAATAGTAAAACATAAGGTTCCTCTAGTTTTTTCTTACAAATGATTTACGTAAGTAGTTGTAAAATCGTTTTGAATATTGTTTAAACCATCTAAATACATAAAAAATTAAAATTAAGAGCAAAAGAAGCACTTTTTGAAGAAATTAGAGGGCCAAACCGCATTGTATACATCTCAAAAAAATACGCAATTTGAAAAAAAAATTGTCCAAAACGGACAACAGAGTCGAAAGTTATGCTTTGCCAAAGTTTCTACACTTTTCAACAAAAAAAAAAAAAATTGAAAATTGTTCGACCGGTTCAGCCGGCTAGGCGGCCGCCTGGCCGCGGAGGAGGCCGGAATAATCATCCGCGGTCGGGCAATCGGCGCCTAGGCGCGATTTTTGCAACACTGGTGATTTGAAAACTCTCTTTGTCAACAAATCCCTCAAGTAGTTAATATGATTGGCTTTATTAATTATATATTTTTTAAATTTTTTCATGATATTAATAAAATACTTGGTAAATAAATATATAACATTATTTTGTATTATAACTTTGATATTTAATTAAAAAATAGTGCACAAAAAAGATACTCCGTAATAGACAATGTAGTGAATATAATCAATTGATGAATTTAAATGTAAATAATTTTTACATTGGAGAAATATAATTAGTACAATCGACTTGTTCATGCCGGAAGAAGACGAACCAAGGTCCGAGCTTGGTGTCGCCGTAGCTGTCGTTCATGCTGGAAACAGAGAACGTTGCTGGACTTTGCCGTTGTCCATCGCTTGTACTTCAAATCGAGGGAGGGTCTCGCCGAAGCTTGTCTGTTGTCGCCGCTACTGGACGCCACCAATCGAGTCCACTTCCATCGCTGCTCGCCGCCGGACTGTTGTTTGTTGAAGCTGAGAAAGAAAAAGGGAAAATATAAAAAGAAAAAGGAAAAAATAATTAAATTACATATTTACCCTGACTTAAAGGTGTACACTAACGGGGAACCACATGTCCATTACGGGAGGGGCTATATTTGTACCGTTTTGATATTTGAACGGTAACATTTACACCACTCATAATTCAGGAATGCCATTGATAATTGGCATATTATAGAGGGGTATTTTTTTACAATTTTCCCTAATTAATAACACAAATTGTAAGTATATTAAAAATATTATTTATGTATGTTAATTGAAATGTTTTAATAAATAAAATATTCTTGCGTCGAAACAATTGCTACAAAACTAGTATGTCGCAAAGCTACCAATGAAAAAATAATTTCCCGCCAAAGGAATTGCGACGAAATATTGTACGTCGCAAGTTTTCCCGCCCAAAAAAACTTTTCCGCCCAAAAAAACTTTCCCGCTAAGACATATTTGTTAAACTTTCAACATCTCAATTATGTCGTATGTTTGTCGCAATATCATCGCAAATGTTGTCGCAAATCGCAATAGCTCTAAATCAAATTTTTTATTAGCTTATTATTTATGTATGTCGCAAGTCCGCCGAAATGTTTGTCGTAATTACTCATCTACACAATTTACTAAACTAAATAATTATTGCGACGAAACAATTGCGACGGAATTAGTATGTCGCAAAGATACCAATGAAAAATAATTTCCCACCAAAGTAACTACGACGGAATATCGTGCGTCGCAAGTTTTCCCGCAAAAAATATACTTCCCGCTAAGACATTTTTGTTGGACTTTTCGACAACATCTCAATCCCATCGTACGTTTATCGCAATATCTTCATAAATATTGTCGCAATATCTCTAAATCTAATAGTTTACAAGAGCGATATGTTTGTCGCAAGTTTATCGCTATTTCAGTCGCAAAAAGTCATCTATTGCGACGGATTTGTTCGTCACAATGTTTGTCCGTCGTTATAAGGGTAGTTTTCTAGTAGAACAATGGGGGAAGGGGGGGTCCTCAAACTAGTATAATAAAATATTAACGGGATAATTTTTTTTTTATTATTTATAAAGACTAAAATACCTTTTACATATGTTTTATAACTTAATTTTGGTGTTAATAATAATAATAATAATAATAATAATAATAATAATAATAAATAATAATAATAATAATAATAATGATGATAATAATAATAATAATAATAATAATAATAATAATAATAATAATAATAATAATAATAATAATAATATGCGTACTGTATCAATTGGTATCCATGTCTCTTATTATAGATATAACTTAAAAATTTTTGACACTTATAATAAGTATTGTGGGATACGTCATGTCTCAATCAAATAAAGTGTTGTAAATAAATATGTGGACGTTACGAGATCGAGGAATTATATTATGATAATGACTCTCCATCTTTTATAGACTTATAGTTATATTGTAACCCTGTACATCATGTATATACTGGATTGAATGATGAATAATAAAGGATAGATAATTCTCTCTGTATTTTCTGTCTTTCTCTTAACATTGCCTATATTATTATGTCTATTGTTTTCCTGCAATCGGAACGATACGTGTTTGTTTGAAGATACGTCTCGTTTTACAACACGTACAATTTTATTTTATTTTATTTTATTTATTTTTTTTTTGTGATAGGAAAAAACTTGTAATTACTATTCAAAAAAACTTGTAATTACTATTCAAAATTTGTAAAAACACGTAGAATTTTGTATGCACTAATTTTAAAAGAATTTTGTATAAAATTTTGTCTCCTAATTCTTTCCTTCCAATCAAATGCCCTGTTAGTTGTATTTGATAGAAGAAGTATCTGCGGTTAAACTGTCAATCTAAACTTTATTATTATTATTATTATTATTATTATTATTATTATTATTATTATTAGAGAGTATGTATAATAATAGTGGTATGTTGGGGGAGTTGTAGCAAGTTGAGCAGCTGAGCTGAGCTCTTACACTCACAAACTTCCAAAATACCAACTACATGATTTGACATTGCAGATTCTGTATGCTTTTTACTCCTACCCTACACTCTTTTTTTCAACTGTTTTGTCATTTCAATTGCCCTAGCTACCACACCCACTATTATATTATATAATTTACTCCCTATAATAAATCTTCTATATTTCTGCACTAATATAAACTCTTCATCTACCACTAAAATAAACCTCTTTGATTATATATTAAACAAAACACTACTTTTATACTTTCATGGGTATATACTTTCTTCTTCCTAAGGTTGAATCCCCAACGCCAAAACCTCCCACCTCCCATCCTGGCCCGACAGAGTATTTGGAAGGTTGTAAATCACAGTAACTCAATGGCTCAGCAGACATGGAAAAATATCGGTGTATACAAGGAATCTGTCCATTTTAAACATAATCCCCACACTACCGCTATTGAAGTTTGAACATTGGTCTCTTCTCCCAAATACTACATACTGAACAATTGAGCTAAGCCCGTGCAGACTTCATGGATATATACTTTTGTTATACAGTTTACATTATTTAATTTGGTAAAAAAAAATAGACGAATCATCTTTTAAAATCAATAATTAGTCAGATGAAAGACTATTCGATGATTTGGTCAACAAAAACTAGACCAATTAATTTATAACTGATCGAGTTTTTATGTTAATTAATTTAGTATTAATAGCAAAAACACTTATCATCACGCCAAAATTTATAATTTGTAGTGATTGTACAATTTTATTTTTTTATATTTACGTAGAAATCAGCGCTACGCTGTACGATGGATTTTACATTTCAAATTTTACATAGCAAAAACTTACATATCTAAAAATTGCAGTAAAACTTAAAGTAAAGAAAATGGACATAGTAAAAAGTAGTAAGTAAAGACACACTTGACATAGTAATAGTAAAAAAGTCAGCAGAAAATGGAATAAAAATAAAAGATGACTGGAGAATGTTTGTGCAGTGGGAGGGGGAGGGGTGAGTGCATGATGATATGAATGCACCCAATTACTGTGACCAACGTAACCTTGATCTGATAAAGAATCTGATGAGGAATATATATATATATATATATATATATATATATATATATATATATATTAGTTCAAATGAGGACAAGACTTTTTGTGCGGTCGATGCGGATTACACCATTAAATATTTAAAAATGTACCAGAATAAAATGCACAAATGCACCACATTAAATGGTGCATTTTCAAAGACTTTATGGTGTATTTATGCGTACCTAATGGTGTGTGACAGCACGACCGCACGGGAAGCACTGTCGGTCACATGAGAACCTGACCCTATATATATTTAGGCCAAGATCAAATAAGAATATGATTATCTTGTAAAAAGTGATGACTAATCTCAACCGTGTATGAGAATTTATAGTGAAAAATTTTAGTAAAAAAACACTGAAATAATGATAAAATTTTAACCTTTGATTATTCAAGATGAACGGTGTGAATGTGTTCACATTTTTTACTCACCTGAACCCTCCTATATATATATGTGGATGGTAGTTGTTGTGGGGTTTGGTATCCCAATGAGATGAGATGCCATTCAATTAAAGCTCACAGATTCACACACCGGGTTGGTAGTTTTTTTTATTTCATTTTACAAAAATAAATTTTTAAAAAAAAGTTAATTTTGTTTTTCATAAAATTGAGGTACCATAAAATTCGGTGTCCTCTAGGTCTGAGTTTCTCGATTTGTTAATTTAATGTCCTTTACGTAGTTGAATGTGACATATGATCACTCGAACTGTTGCCATCATCCAGCCCTCTTCACACCACCTTCCTCACATGCTGCCTTAGTCTCAATCACTCACTGCCTCAATTTCTACCCCCCCCCCCCCCCCCCCCCTTCTCTCTCTCTCTCTACCTATATATGTGTGTGTATATGTCTGTATGTATATGGTTCTATATCTGTGCCTACACATATATGAAGATATCTGCTAGATCCTTTATAAACCCCATGCCACCAAACAAACAGTTGGCATTGTTAGAAACTTTTGTCTAACTTCCACTACTCATCAAATCATATTTTAGCATAACAGTAAGAGGAAGATATATATTAGATATATATCTAACTTTCTTTTGTCTTGTGCAAGGAAAAAAGTAAAAAAAGAAAAAAAAGAAGATAAATTTATGCCACTTTACACCAATAGCTTAGAAGAGTGTAACTTTTAAAACCCCATTTAGAGGCTTAGTAACAACATGCAAATTACAAGGTTACATGTTTGACCATCAACCAGAACAATTGACTGATCTTTTTGGTTTGAGTTAGTTAGCTATGAGCAATCTAAATTGTTTTATTTTCTTGTAGTCATTTGCCAGTTAAGATCACAATTCAGGGTTTACCCAGTGTCAGGTAGTGGTTGTGGGTTTCTCTGATCACTCAAGAACATGTAAACCGAGAGGCAAAACATTGGAACCAAAATATGTATCAGATTTTTTGGATCAAGTTCATATGTATATACATGCTCAATAAATGTGTGTGTATATATAGACACTTATCTATCAGTATCAACTAACTTGAATTAGTGTTGGTGGTTCAGTGCATGCCCTTGAAGATGGGGTACAAAGACATGTTACCCTATTCAAGAAAGAGGTCAATAATGCTAGGTATCCTTCTAATATATAATATATATATTTTTTCAACCTTAATTTCAATCTCTAGTGCACTAACATTCCTCTTATTTCACTCCAAGTTTTATGCATGCATGTTGGATTTCATAAGGTATACATTAGATACCACAATATAATATTATGTTTATATTAATACCTTAACATAAAAATACTTAGTTTGTATATTACTATTGGAAAACTGGTTGGGCGTCGAATTCACTATCTTACTATCGAAATATGGGGCTAACTGATACACAAGTATAAAGAAATAAAGTTACGCCTTCGCAACTATATCTTTTGGTGTAGTGGTAAGTGTTTGATCTTGACAATTGGTATCAGAGTAGATTACGGGAATCAATGACGTCGAATTAGAGAATCAAGTCTAGCATCTTGGTGCTAACTGCTATACAAGTACAAGGAAATAAAGTTACGCATTCTCTACTAACTATGACTTTTAGCGTAGTGGTAATTGCTTAATCTTGACAAAACTTGAGATTTCTGATTGTTAAAAAGTGGTAAAAATTTTAGGGTTTTCGACCATAACATTAATTGGAATGTGTATATATATAAAGCATATGGAGAGAGAGAGAGGGAGAGAGAGAGAGAAAGAGAGAGATAACAAGTGCATGTTATTGAAATGAAGATTATTAAGCATAAGTAGCTAGTTACAACTTACAATATTTGATGCTTCAAATCATATATATGATATATAAGAAATCACAAATTAATAATGAATCCAAGGCCCTCTGATCTGAGAAAGGGATAAAATCATCATCATCACACTGCGAAAAGGGATATTACAAAGATATACCTCATCAGATGGACATATGGGAATTCCAAACTCTTTAGTTTGGACACTCAATTCAAATCTTCACATACATACATATATATATAGAGAGAGATATATGAAATATATATATATATATATATATATATATATATATATATATATATATATATATATATATATATATATATATATATATATATATATATATATATATATATATATATATATATATATATATATGAGCCTTTTATTTATATATATAATATATATGTAATATAAGCTGGTAGATCTTGAAATGTTATTTCTTAGTAGAGACCAAGTGATTTCTGAGGCCCTTCACCTCCAACTGCATGATCTATCTTGGCTTGCTTGTTGTTATCCAGGTTTAGTCCAAAATGGATGTGCGGAAAATGTGCCCACTGCAAATAATTTTTAGTTATTCAAGAAATGAGAGGTCTAGAGGTTGAGGACATCCAAGAAACCAAAAGGTAATACCCACACTGATACCAAATAGTATCATTTGTTTCATGTGTTGTCTGTTCTATTGTTGCCCCAAAAAATCTTTAAAAAGAAATCACATAATGCTTATATACCTAAAGATTCTTTTTAGCTTGCGATATATTTTAATATAAAATTTTTGAGTACAAAAAATACCATGGTAGGGAGTGGTTTTTCTCATCATCTTTACCGGAATGCCAATGAAATGTGAATATAATAAAAGTTCATTACAAATTATTTCAGACTAGCTTAATTAGGTTATAGTTAATTAGAACCCTCTAAAAGTTGTAAATATAATATATAGTAATGTTTTTCTATAATTCTGAATTATAGAAATGGAGAAAATACATTAGAAGTAGCATCATTGAATTGTACCTTTGCTCAATTAAATGAAGCCCTAGTTTTTTTTTTTTTTTTTTTTTTTTTTTTTTTTTTTTTTTTGAATGTTACTGGCCCTATTACATTGTAGTATCTGTTCATATACTTTCTCAACCGACTGAAACACAAAGAACCAATAACGCCTCCACTGAGGCTCAAACTCGTAACCTTCCAAATGGAAGCCCTAGTTTTTAAATCATGAAAATACATCAGATTTTTAGGAAATTTTTATGGTGTAGATTGACACTATGAAAACCTCTAGCTAGATTTCTAACAAATAGTAAAGTTGAAAACAAAGGTAGATTTTTGTATATCGTTTGCTGGTTTGGTCTAAGAAGGTTTCCTTACCTAGTCAACTCGATAGATATTTAAATATGAATATATTATGCCAACGACTTATAACCTGACAACGTTTACACGTGCACACACACAAACATATATATATATATATATATATATATATATATATATATATATATATATAAATTCTAAACAAGACATTTTGAGTTTCAGTCTCATGCAGTATTCAGATATATATACTAACAAAAAATGAATGTATTAGTAAGCCAAATATTGCCATATATTTGTTGTGATAAGTATATGACTTACATTTTTGGCAGCAGTACTGAAAGCTTCCCGGTGGCTAATATCTGGATTGCTAGCTTTTATCCTCTGGATCTCCTCCCTACACATACAAACACAACATGTGATCAATACATACATCATACTTAGTACATACATTAAAAACAACGTACCCTAATGTTGTGCTAGTTTGTCAGCAGCCTAGCTTGACTTAGCTAAAAGATAATGGGGGTTTTGGTAAATAGTTGTTAGCTCATTGTGTAAGTGAGTTTGACTAGTTGATAACATTAACTGATTGTAAAAAAATGTTTGGTAAATTAGCTATTAGCTGATTACATGTAAAATAACTTCCTCAAAAAACTTATCGAAAAAAGCTACTTTGATAAATTTTTTGAATTTTAGTATTTTGGATAATAAGTTACAAAAAAAACTAATTAATCAAACACTCATATTGATTGTTTAACTAAGTCAAACAATTAATAGTGGTTAAATAAGTCAAAATTAATTGATAAGCTAACTATGTTACCAATCAGGGTCAATAATATTAATTACAGTTACATATATAATTATATAGGCATGCATAAACAAATTAAATAATTTTCCAACTTACTTGATGAATCGGTTGTAAGCAGAAGGGACTCGTTGTCTTTTCTCTGGTGCTGCATTCATCATTATTATTTATGTTACTCTAAAAATACTACATAAAACTTGTACATCGTTTATACAAAATTATGTGTATCTTAATACAATAAATGTTACTTTTTACATATACTCCGCATGCTTTATAAATCTTGTACACCATTGTAAGGTGCATATATATGATATGATTACTTAAAGTATCACATGAAATATTAAGTTTATAATTCGTAAAATACAAGCATGCATGTATGCATTTTAGTATTCAACTCAAAACTCCAAAAAACATATGTTTTGTTTCAATTAAAAGACTAAACTGATAATTAAACTATTATATATTAAATGCTCAAGAAATTGGACCTAATAAATTTTAAATGCTACCCATTTCCATTTTCTTCTTGCGAACCAATACTTTCATAGCGAGAGAATATTCTTCGTAGTATTTTTTTTTAACAAATTAAGTTTCCCAGCTTATACTAGATTAATCCTAAACTCTCAGGACCTCTGTCCAACACTACTGAAAATTATGGAATTTTCAACCACCTGAAAGTGATCTTAAATCAAGTCGAAAGCCTTGTTCCGACTACTTTGGTATCCAGAAAAACCTTTATTGCTATTTTCGACCACTTTTTGGTATTAACTTGATTTAAGATCACTTTCAGATAGTCGAAAATTCCATAATTTTCAATAGTGCAAGAGTTTTGGATGAGATAAATCGCGAATCGTCCAATCAGTCCTCGATTTCCACCGCATTGGAGGTTTTGGGGTAGTGTGGATATGGCGGTAGTTCTCATCCAAACCTATTTATGCCAATAATAGTGGCTAGACGACGGTAGAGTAAAGCGATATGATGCAGCAATGGAAGACGTACAGAAATCCTCTCCATGTCTCTAGAAAATGGCATGGCCTGCCCTTATTGCTGACTTGGATTTTATGATTTGTCACAATCATATCAGATCATAAATGAACATAACCCATCCAATTTTTGGACTCCTACCTATAAACATCTTGTGATCCCACTCACTATTATATTTATTTATCAACACCAATATTAATTTTATATTTAAATTAACTCAAAATCAAGTTACGCATAGACTCTAACATAAATTTACTACTTCGTGTAGTACATTCAAACCCATACAGAAACACTGCTGGAAATTATGGAATTTTCGACCACCTGAAAGTGATCTTAAATCAAGTGGAAAGTAAAAAGTGGCCGGAAATAACAACAAAGGTTTTTCCGGATGCCAAAAGTGGTCGGAAATAGCAACAAAGGTTGTCCGGATACCAAAAGTGGTCGGAACAAGGCTTTCGACTTAATTAAGATTACTTTCAGGTGGTCGGAAAATCCATAATTTTCAACAGTGAAAGTTTGTGTATCGTTTTAATTAGGAATGTCGTTAAATGTATGCTAGCTTAAAGTAAAGTAGAGAGAGAGAGCTAACGGCGAATGGGGGCGAGCCTGGGTTGCTGTTCATGTTCAGGAGAGTCAAAGGGAGCAAATTTGTTGCATTTTGAAGAAGACGATGATGATCCGCTGCCATCTTCATTGTTGGACTGTTGTTGCTTCTGCTCATTCTTACAACAAAACATTATTGCACAGAACAAACACACACAAAATAGAATGTTTTTCTTAATCTTTGTTCGGCATATAATATATATATAAACACAATTCAACTATCAGCTTAATTTTTTAATTAGTTGAGATAGAACACACGCTTCAGTGTTATAACATGGCCTCAACAACATATCCATATGGAATAATCTTAGAATACCTTTACAATAGGGTAAAGTTGTTATATTATTTAACATTTAATGTTCATTACACAATAAAAATTAGGGTGATTTATTTTTACTTATTATAGCATTATATACATGTCAAAACAGTGAGAACATATACATTATATATATACATAATATATGATAATATAGTTTTAACATAAATTAATAACTATTATATAGATTCAACCACCCCATTGCAAAATTAGAGCAATAAAATCAGATTATAATTATATGTGTTGATTGGTTCACTACTCATGTAAATTTAACTTTTACTAGATGATCAACGAACCGAGCAACTCATGTGTTAGCCAAGCAATTCGTTTCTATATGTGGCTGTTTAGAGTGGTTTTCAGACCCTCCATCTTTTTCTTTGTAATGTGTTACTTTCAGATATGGATTAATGTTACTGGTTCTTCCTTCTTAAAAAAAAAAAAGTATTTCCTTATTTATGTATCACTTAATTACCTTTTTTTTTTAAAAAAAGTTTTAATTTCCATAAAACAGAAGCTAGCTAGCTAGCTAGGCAACTATATATTTATGAAGATAATAAATTAAATTAAAGTTCTCAGAATTTTTTTTTTTTTTTTTTTTTTTTTTTTGGAGAGAAAAGTTTTCAGATTCATAAAAATATAATGAGAACTTCTGTAACATAAAAGGACATGAAATGGGAGGCCAGTAAAAGCATTGGTGCAGATAATTCACATTATGATATTTACTGCAGATCTATAATACACACACACACATACACACATACATATATATGTGTGTGTATATATATTGTAGTCAGAAACTTTAATGTTTATATGCATCTCCTTTTTATTTTTTGACCATTCAAAAAGTTCTTAAAGAAAAAAAAAAAGTTAATTTCTTGATTTTATATAACATGAAAGTGTAAATTACCTGGATATCTTGATGAAGAGGGAGAGGCTGAAGCAAAGATCCCATATTAACAGAAAGCAAATTAGCACAGTGCCCACATCTGACTGTCACAATGGTGAACATGCTGCTGCATGGAACACTAACCTAAAAAAAATAATATGCAACAAATAAAACCTTTGTGTCACCATCCATAATTCTCAAACCTCAATTTTCTCAAATTTATTCATTCTGGAAACAAACAAATACACATGTATATGGCAAGAACCAGAATAAAAACAAAAAAAAAAACAAAAAACATTCACTGAATGTACTCTATACAGATCAGATCAGAGAAGGAAGAATTGAAGAAAGGCATTATATATATAGTGTGAGGTATATATTAATGGTTTTGAAAATTGAGTGTTTTTGTGAGTGCAAAAACCAAGGATTATTATCCCTTTAAAGAGAGGGGAGCCTCTAATCTCACCAATATCTCTCTTTCCTTTTCTGTTTCTCCCCCCCCAACCCTTTCGGTGCTCTCCTCCTGACTTTATCTCTGAATCTTGTTCAGTGATTCAGTCACTACTCACTACAGAAAGATCAGAGATAGGGGAAAGGGCCAAACGAAAATGACATGACGACTCTATTTATAATATAATATAATATAATTAATTTTTTCTAAACTAAAAATATAATCCAGCTCTTTCTTTATGCAGTCTCTAAGATCATTCCTTTTTTCAAGAATCCAAAATTATTTTATTATATGTAAAATAAAGTATATATACCCATTTTAAATGAAAGAAAGAAAGAAAGAAAGATGAAGACTTTGTTTTGTTTTTTTTTTTGTTTTTTTTTTTTTTGAGGAAGATGAAGACTTTGTTATACAGAAACATTTGGAATGGGTGTAGAAATCAGAAATGGAATTTAATGGCGTGAACAGAAATACCCACCACCCATCCACCATATAGTGCAGTGGAATGGCATCAAAATTAGTACAATTATTTGTAATACGTTGCAGATCACAAGTACGAAAATATCAGAAATTTTTTTTAAAAATTGCTTAATTAATTAAATTAATTCCCTTAAGATACACTTGAGTCTACACTTTTATGAAGTGCACAAAGAAACTCCTCTTCTCCACCCATTTGATCAAGAATTTTTTTTTTTAAAAACCCTAATTATAAATCCAAACCAAGATGTATATATACATATATCATATCCCTGCTAGCTTGAAGCTAGTTCTTGTATGACTAATCAATTTGATGCAATTGTCCTAAAGATTCATGGGGTTTTCATGTTATTGGATCGCGATTTCCTTTCCCTTTCACATTGAGCTTTTTGAATTGGGAGCTCATTAGCTGCAAAACAAGAAATTCCTCACAACTGGAATTTAAATTAAATTAAATTAAATTAAACCAAACCACCCTTTACCCTTTTTCTCACATGAATTAACTCCCAATTTTGATTTGGAAGAAGAAACCAATAATTCACAGAATTCGCATAAAATATCACACAATTCAACTAAATCAACACGTCCCAACCCTACGATTGATGAACAAGTACTTCACTTGCAAACAAATTTGCAGAAAATTGTGTGGTTCCAAGAAAACCCTTTTTCTTGAGGACAATTTCTAACAGACAAAGAAGAAGAAGAAGAAGAAATCTGGTTCAAAATCATGAGTAGATGATCTAGTACAGTACCATCCACCCATATGTATATATGCATGGTTTCTTATATATATAACAGCTGCTTATATATATATGTTTGGATGATGAATATATATAGCTAGAAGCAAGAAGGGAGAATCAAAGAAGTATACCGCAAGAATGGTGGTGCAGAAATTGCAGTGAACGTAACAAACCCGTTCTGAGGTGGTGGAGGAGGAGGATGAAGAAGAGATATCCATTGAAGGGTATCTTGTGTTCTTTTTTTCTTTTTCTTTTTTATTATAAAAATATATAGTGTATATATAGGTTCCGGAAATTGCGGATCGGAGGAGGTGGTGGTGGCAGCGGCGGAGGCGGAGGAGGAGCTGCTGTGCTTTCGCTAAATATATGGAAACAAAGCAAAAGGGAAAGATTATTATATCCAAATCCAGAAGCTTTTGCAGTGCAGCAAATTATAGCTAGCGAGCTAGCTCAGCTCGATGACAAAAACTAAAGGGAAATCATGAAATAGTAGTAGGGTAACAATGAAGGCAAAGCAAATTTAAATAAGATGGAGAGATAATAGTAATTATAAATATATGGGATGTATGTATAGAGAGAGAGGGAGAGAGAGAGAGAGAAGGTCTACAGAAAAGATGATGATGAGGGGATCAAATATATGGATGGATGAGATGGGACTGCTCTGGTCTGGTCGGCAATACCGTATTGATGGTGGGGGAAATAATGGCAGTATACTGGCCTATGTACGTATTCTTTTTGTGTATAACATCTCATATTCCCCACCAAACTAATCTGGGGAGTTCGGTCTGGGTGCCGATCATGTTTATAGAGTTTAACTCTTACTGCGAACAGACTTTTGCGGAGCAGTGACTTGAAAATGAGAAACTAATAACATTTCACCATTGAAACATGATACTGACTATTAAAAGCATTACATTAGTGCATTCTGCACACTTTTGAGAATAGCATAGCTGATCTGGAGGAGAGAAAGAGAGGAGAAAGAAAATATGAGCTCCTTCTGTAAAGGACGGGTTTTTTGTGGGTCCCACGGCACAGAGAAAGATGAGGTACAGTCGCACAGCTACGAGTTTTGTGCACAATGGCGCCCAGTCGAGCGCGTCATTGCCTCTGTTTTTTCATCGGCTTCTTTACTTGTTATTACTTTTGGGTAATAGTAAACGCTTGATTTTGAGAACTTTGGCCAAAACTTTTTAATGGCATTTGTCTTCTAACTTTATAATTATATTAACGGTTCGCTTGTTAATTACTTCTTGTGAGTGTTTGGGTATTTTTTTAAAAAAAAATTTAGGTGATCTCATCTTTGTTGGACTAATGCTAAATTCATTGGACCGACCCCTAGAGCTGCATGCTGTGGAGATAAATTGTAAGTCAAGCAATCAGACCACATGTCAGACCCTATTCTTCATGTGATTTTTTGTATTTTTTACAAAGGGGGGTGATTGTGGGAAGTGAAGTGCGTAAACTTTTGTTTTGTATCAGTGTTGACGTACAACTTGCTTAGAAATGTAAAATTGTACACGGTGAAACCACAAGGTTAATTGAGAAATGAAAAATCCTTACCTCATTTTGTTCAAAAAAACAACAAATAAAAAAGGAAAAGGAAAAGGAAAAATATGGAAAGATCAGAGAGAGTGAGAAACAAAAAAAAGTGGGGTTGTGGGTGTCCTTGGTATATATGGGGTTTGGGGATCGAATGGAACCCCACATTTGATGGTGTGAAGAAGAAGGGTAAAGATCTTTTCCCATCTTAATACACTCTTTTAAATATGGATCTCATAGTTAATTACATAATTATTCTTTAGTATGGTATATATACCTAATTTTTTTTCGTAAGTTAGGTGGAATTAGTAACACTTAATGTCTATCACAAAATTTCATGAATTAACTTTGCCAAAAGGCATGTGGTTGAGTGGTATAATTGTGACCCTTTAAATGGGAAGTTTCAGATTTGAACCTTAGTGTGAACAAATACTACATTATAATAGAGGTCTATTGAGAAAAAAAAAAAAAAACAAAAACTCAGAAGATTGAATCAAGCGTCCCAATCATATTTTTTATTTTTAACTATTAGTGGTTAGAACTCAATTTGTGAACACATTTGATAACCTTACCCCAAGGCTGAATCTCCAACCCTAAGGGCCCCCACACTCCGACCCGACAGAGCATGTGGGAGGATGTAAATCACGGTGACTCAATGGGACACGTTTAATAACCTAATTGATCAAATTTTTGACGAACTTTATTAGTGGACAATAAGTGTTATAAATCACTTTTGATGATTGGTTAGAAGTAGCTATAATTTTTATTTTTATTTTTTTGAATTTTCAAAATTATTAGAATGACAACATTTTTGTAGCAAATTTTTTTAGATTTTTGATCACTTTTGATGATCGAAAATCCTCAGAAATGATTAAAAAGGGTAAATCTCGAATAGAGGGTCGTTTGATTAGTTTATATTCATTATGAACAAATTTGTTTTGTTTTGTTTTTGTTTTTGTTTTTTTTTTTAATAAAAATGAACAAATTTGTTTATTACCTGAACAAGCATGATTTTTGTTCATTTATAGTATCGTGCATACTTGTTCATAAATGAACTTTCTTTTCCCCCACTTCTAGATATATGATTATGAGGATTATAATCTTAACTAGGCGTTTGGTTGGAGATAATTATAATTCCATTCCCATTTAATTTTTACATAATGTCAAAAGTAAGTAAATTCTTACGTTTGGTTGGAAGAAATTGCAATTCTGTGAAATTGAAATTCTCTCATTTTCATAGAATTAGAATCTCATGCCCCTCTTGGTATTTCAATTCTATTAATTTTAGGAAGAAAAAAATAACTTTGTGACAAAATTACTATTCTCATTTTTTAACATAAAATTGATGTTTGACATTTCTTTCGATTATAGTGTGTCTTCTTCTTCAACTCTCAACACAGAACATCAATCAGTAGACCAATCTCAATTCAAATATTGTTTTCTCAAAAAAATAATAAGTATGGGCATTTTGGACTTTATACTTCTTATTTCCTTTCAATTCTCATGTATACTACTAAATATTGAAATTGAAATTCTTAGTAATTCTATTCATGCAAACTAAACACTGAAATTTAAATTACTGCTTTATTCCACATTATTCATCTCTCATGGAATTGCAATTCCTTTTCCACCTAAGAGGGCGTTTCGCAGCCAAGAAAGTTCAAACTTTCTTGAGAATTTAAAAGATGGAAAATTATTCTCACGTTTGGTGTAATTTTTGGCTTAGGAAAGTTCGGATCAATGTAATCATATTTCATGATAAGGAAAGTAAATCCCACATAGGGAGGTAGGATTCTTTTCCCGGGTGACGAAAAATTTACCAAATTAATTTAATTACGTATTTATTCTTTTTGGCGTCAAATTAAAAGTCTTTTATAAATATAAGAAATTTATCTCTCCGCCTAAATGATGATTGATCTTATCCCTCCATTTGAGTAGATTGATCAATGGTTGCTAAAAATAAGAGGATAAGAAATGGTGTCAGTTGTATAAATAATACAAACTTGAAAATTTGTAATAATTATAAAATTGACCTCGTATTCTTTTTTTTACTAAAACTCTCAACTATTGATTGATCCTGATAAACGGCTTAGATCAATCTACACTTTTTTACCTGAGTGGTTCTTATTTAATTTGAACCTACTTATGTGTGTGTTAACTTATTTGACTTTTTTTTTTCCTCATAATATTTACTCCTAATGTAATGATTTTTTTTTTTCTTAAAGTGTCAGCATAATATCCCAATAGCACATTATCTACAAATCTAATAAGAGCCAATAAAATTAAGCCATTTATTATAGTATTTTATTATTTTAAATAACATTGCATTCCGTTAGTATAAACTTTAATAACAGAATATTTCGTTAACTATTTATTATTCTTTAACTTACTCATTAATTTCTATAAGAAAGGTCTTAGGTTCGAATCTCATCATAATTGGAGTTGGCATAATTGTTAAACATATACTACGAATATGTTAAATTGTATTTAAAAAATACAATATAAAATTTAACATAAAATTTGGTCAAATAATTAGCCCGACAAAATACGTAGCATTCTAAGTGAAGCATCAAAGATTATAAATCAAGAACATTGAAAATCATTTTCTTGCATTAAAAAAAAAATTTAGGTTAAGTTTTTTTTTTTGTTTTTGTTTTTTTCGTTTAATTAATCTTCTATTTAGAACAAGACTCAATATTTCAATTATGTTTTTGCATTATTTGACTGATTTAAGTCATTATGGTATTAATATTTTTTTGTATATATTTATATAATGATACAATTGTACATTAGCTTACAAATATTGTACTATTATTTTTTTATCGGATAAAATTATTCTTACATCATTATCAGACATGCGTGACCTAACTACGAATATGTAAAATTGTATTAAACAAATACAATATAAAATCTAACATAACTTTGGTCAAATAATTAGTCCCACTAAATACATAACATTCAAAGTTGAGCATCAACTATTAAAAATCAGGAACCTTGAAAATCAACTAACATGATTGGTGTGGTGGTTTAACACCTTGCCCCTTAAACATGAGGTTGAAAGTTTGATCCCAACTCATGTGAATGGAGTAAACCATTTGGCTAGTCTGATCTCCTACCACTTATTATGTTGACAATAGGGATGGGGATTAGTCTTTTGGCTGGAGGGATACCTTTGGCCAGGTTAAGTTTTTCTTTATTATTATTATTTTACATTTAATTATCTTCTTTTGATTATTTACAACAAGACTCAATATTTCAATTATGCTTTTGCATTATTGGAATGATTTAGGCCATTATGGTATTAATATCTTTTGTATGTATTTCTATAATGGTACAATTGTACATTACTTTACAAATCTTGTACTGTTTTTTTTTTTATCGAATAAAATTGTTCTTACATCATTATCAGACCTGCGCGACCTAACTACAAATTAAAGTTGTTGATAAGAATACAACTACACATGGGCTCTAAAATTATAGAATCATTTTCCAAAAAATTGACAATGCTGACATCCCACTGGCTCCAATTGGAACAAGTTTACACATCATTCTCAAAATTTAATCAATACATGAAAACTTGTAAAAAAATTTGTAAGTTAATTTTTACTATATCATTATAACAATATCTTCTCCCAAATTATAACAATATCTATTGTAACCATATATTGCGTATTATTTATTATCATCATCTATTGACAACAATTGTAGCAATTGTCATTGACAAACTCCGAAAACAATTTGTCTAACAATGACTGAAAAAAAAATCAATGACTTCATTGTTGTGGATGAAAAGTAAGTACCCCACTTTATTACTCTTATTAAATTCAATAAATTAGTAGCTACAACCAAAAATAATACATATGACTTAATTAATTTAGAATTAGATGTCTAAGACTATATTAAAAAAAAAAATATTCATTATAAAAAAATTTAAAAAGAGATATAATTTCATTAATTATATTATCTTTATTTTCTACAATTCAAATATTCTTTACCTTCAAATTCATTAATTAATTATATTCACTATATTGTCCATTGTCTTATTTTTAAACTATCTTGTAATTAAA